CTGAGAGTTATGTAGGTAGGTAGTCATTTATGTGTAGCCGAGTGAGAGTCGACAGCTATCAGGTTTCAATCATATTTTAGAAACTCAACGTGGCCCAACCACCATTCCATCTTCCTCCCAAAGAATCATTCTCTTTTCTGACGCCAATCACATGCATCGTAAATAACGGCCGCCAGCAAATAAAGCCCGTGGGGTACCGCGCCCCCTTCCATGTTGTATAGCCATACATACGTAACCTCAAATAAATGAAAACCGTGCATTTTATCCCCACTCAGTTTAAACACCTGTATGTTTTTCCATCGCATCGACGTCGATCAGCTTCCTCATCTCCCGCCATTCCATCTCGAATGCTGGCGACGGCTGCCGCACTGCGGGCATGGGAGCCCCAGTCGGGGCCCAAAAATCATCTTCCATTGGCGTGCCAAACATGCTTATGTCTTCGAGCTGCTGCAGCTGTGGATCAATGACCAGCGCCGGGTCACCTAGATCCGCCTCAGTGAGTATTTCTTGTGCCACTTTGCTCTCTTCTTGGTATCCATAGCTGTCTCCATGGTCATTCTGGATGTGTCGGTTGAAATCGTGATGGCGGATGAACTTGGCCGCGCAGCCTGGCACAGTGCAGGCAATATTACGGCCCGATGATACCACACCTGCTGTGATCTCGTCCACGACATCGTCCGGCAAAGTCGACGTGACGGAGTACATCTTGGGCGGGCGTCGTCTGCCGAGATGCACAAAGCGCACGTGTTCCTCCAGCTTCAGCTTGCTCATGAAGCTATGGCCACATCCTTCCTCCATCCAGTTCCAGTCCGAGATATCCGGCGTCTCGAATGTGTTGACTTGCCCGCAGATGAACCGTAGGCCCTCGTGGGCGGTCTTTATGTGCGTGTTCAGGTTCGATTGGCGGGTGAAGCGCTTGTCACAGCCTTCCCAGGTGCAGACGACGTTCTTGCGGTCCTCGACCGTGGTGCCGGAGTGGTGGATATCGATGTGCCGTTCCATGTCGCCCAGCGTGCCGCACTTGGCGTCGCAGAAGATGCAGTTGTTGTGCTCGCGCTTCATGTGCGCCTGGAGGAGGATCAGCGTGGTGAAGCCCACGCGGCGGGCCTCGCGCTCCTCGCGGTCGTCTTCCTCGCCGACGTTCTCCTTGGCGCATTCATCGCACCAGAACTTCAGCTCGCCGTGCTCCCGTTCCACATGCCGCCTGAGTGCCCCAGCTGTGTCGAAGCCGCCTTGGCAGCCATCGTTCCCGCAGAGAAAGGCGGACTGGCCGAGATGGGCGGTTCGGATGTGTCGCTGGAGGGTCTGGTGCTTGCGGAAGCTGAGGGCGCATTCGTCATAGCCCCGGCAGCGGAAGCGTTCGGCGCCTTCGTGGACGGCGGCGTGCCGCCTTAGCCGTGTTGCGGTGACGAAGGACTTGCCGCAGTCGGGCTCGGCACAGGTGTATTTCCGCTCGTGGGTGTGGGAGCCCTTGATATGCTGGGTGAGGTGCTTCTCCTCCAAGTAGTCCTTGCCGCAGCCGGGGTAGGGGCAGCGGTGTGGGCGGTCGTTGGTGTGGGACCGCAGATGGGCTGCGAGACGAGCGGGCCGGTTGAAGAACTTGTCGCAGCCGGCGAAGGTGCACTTGATGGTCTTGAGATCTGAGGGAAACCTGCGAGAGATCCGAGAGGCGGGCGAGGTGGAAGCGACGGAGCTGGAGCTTGTCGGCTGGGGCGGCAGGATGGTGGCGGACGAGACGTGGGAATGGGCAACGCTGTCGGCGGTGGAGGTGATGGATCCAGTCTCGACAGCTTCAACTGCAGCTTCAATCGGGTGCTCTAGCTTCGGTTCAGGCTCTGGCTTTACTGCTGCTGTTGCGGTTGCCCATTCTGTCAATGTGAGCTGTCGTTTTGCAGGGCTCGCAAGGCCCTCAGCCGCCGCCTTTCTCTTCATCGTTGGGCATGGGCGACATTCCCGCTCCGGCTGGAATCTGGAAATCTGAGCCCGGAAAATCGAGGTGCGGGTGACCTCAGATTTCTCCAAAAGCACTTTTTTTTTGTGTCGCTGCTGCTTCTCCCACTGATTGGGCGTTCCCCTGTCCTGTCCTAGCGGTGAACTCAATTAGAGCCCCTGCACCACAGCAGCGCACAGGGCAGGTACGTACCTTGCCTCTTGGCTTCCGCCTGCGCGTCGCTGAGGGCTGCGAGGTTTTCTTTCAGCCTTGCGTTGGACCCCACCCAAATTTTCTGTCGTCCTTTCTGCTCCAGTCGCATCGCCCGCGGCCAGAACTCTCTGCCTGTCAACGTCGATTGAACAAAGCACAGCAGCGTCTCATCTCGTCGCCTCGCCTATCGCCAGAACACCGATCCCCACGCGCTACTCTCACGCACGCACATTAATCTCTCGGCAAATATGTCTGACTACGGGGATGACGGCGCAGAGCCTCTGTAAGTGATACACCTGCATGCGCCCGAGAGGCGGGGGCTGGCCGTCCCTTCTTCAGTTCTAACGCCCCGACCAGCGACGAGCCTGTCTTCGAGGACGACCCCGATGAGTACTACGAGCCCGAGCCCGAGCCGGCGGCAGACGAAGATGGCGCCCAGCTTGGCGAAGGCGAAACCGAGGCCGACCACGTCATCACCTCTGGCAGCGATCCCAACGCTGGCGCCAATGTCGGCAAGGGGAATGACAAGTCGCACAAGGACAAGAAGATCCCCAACGACCAGCGCACCACCACGCCCTTTATGACCAAATACGAGAAGGCACGCATTCTCGGCACACGCGCCCTCCAGATCAGGTAGGTTTGCATGGCGTCACGGGCGGGCGGGCCGAGAAGGAACACAGCGGCTAACAGCAGCACCCACAGCATGAACGCCCCGGTTCTGGTTGACCTCGAGGGAGAGACAGATCCCCTCCAGATTGCTATCAAGGAGCTCAGGGAGAAGAAGATTCCCCTCATCGTGCGTCGGTACATGCCCGATGGATAGTAAGTCTCATCCTCCTGTGCGGCAATGTCTCTGTCCAGACGAGTGGGAGACTGACTATTTGTTCTTTTTTCTTAGCTACGAGGACTGGACCTGCGAGGAGCTTCTCCAGTAGAACGAATCAAGCCCCGTGAGGAGCTTGTTGGAGAGAGGCAAGCGTGCATTCTCCCATCTTCTTTTCCTCCGCAATGGAGTCACAAGAAATGTGCATTAGCGAGGGCGTTCATGGTTTGGTCGATTTGGTCTTCTGGTCTCGGAATAAATTGGAGGGGGGGGAAGGGGCTGTGAGCTTGCCTCGGTCGTCAGTGGGCCTTGATTGCGGTCATATTGGAAAGTGCCCGACTCCAGTGCTCACGTCGCCGGCGAGCTGAAGCATGTGAAATAAAGACGAGCAAGCAGAACCGAACTGGAACCGGCGTATAAATAGGCGGTAAATCAATGTTCTTCAGTCGTTCTGCCATATTGCCTCATGAGTGCCCGGCTAGGTGGTGTGCAGCCAAACCGAACACTCGCGGTTATCGTTGGTGGCACAGGCATTTGGATTTTTCTTTGACACCACCTGTCTTGAGGGTATGGCCGCGAGTTGCTGCATGTCGCGTGCGTGTGCTGAATGTCAGTCAACACCTGCATACGTTCTTGCTCCTGTCCTTCCTCAAGATCGTTATCGAATCAACGACCGTTCTCAACCAATTTCACTCACAGTCGGCTGAAATTATAAAAACACCGACATTGAACTCGAGTGCATAAATATCTTACTGTCTTAATTGTCCATTCCTTCGGGTATATATTTATTATTTTAATCAATGACAAATTGGCTTCCTCGGACGTTATCGACAAGACCCAAGCACGGTTCATAAAGCCAAGTTCTTTTCATCCGAGTTAGCATCAATCAGTCTTGTCTCCGCTCTGTCTCTCTCCTTCGTCCTCTCCAACAACCGGCAAGTGCACTCTCTCTCCCCAAGTGTCGGGGGCCGCAGACGCCATGAGAGGATGATACGCAGGGACGAGTGTAGAAAAGTGATTCTCGAGTACCGCATCGGCCGACTTGCCAGTCTGCTGTTCAACAAGTTGCTCCAGCATCCGGCACGAATCGTGGAATCGATTGAAACTATGCATCACACAAGCCTGGTTCTTTCTACCAAACCTTCTTTCAGAGGCTATACATATATAAGTAGGTGGTGTGAATAAAAGACTGAACACACATGCTACGAATGGTAAATATGAGTGCTCAGTCTTGAATTCACACCACCGGGGTAACAACGGAAGGCCATTTGATGAAAAATAAAATGTATCTAATTTTTGACCATTTAGTTGCCAACAGCGTCCCAGAACGTCGATCGGGCCCTGTCAGGTGGTGTAGATTAAAGACCGAACACTCGTACTTGTAATTCGCAGCATGTGTGTTCGGTTCTTTATTCACTAGGTCCTGATGTTGTCTCGAAGTACGCATACCCTAACCCCGAGTGCCCCCTTTTCGCTCGATGTTTTGATCTGTCGGTCGCGTCGTGTGCGCATTATTTCTGGCAGTTGCCGCTGACCATTGTTGCCGAATAAACTTGCCAAGACAGTGTTGCATTGCTGTCTTCTCTGATAAATTCTCATGAAAGAGTGAAGGATAGAACATGTTTGTGAATGGTGTTTGGATATCGCATGTAAACATCAGGAGGCTCGGGTCGGGGTCTTTAGGTCTTTGAGATGGTGTGCTTGGCAATGCCATCACGTTAAAGAAATATCCTAGGGTTGCTTCCTTCGTGCGCTCGGTCAATTGGGACGGTGATTGTGTAGCTGTTGTGTGGTGCTGGTGATGCGTGCGGGATGATGCACGTCCAGCTGCAAGTCTCGCCCGCGAGTCCCACATAACGCTTCAAAACCCCTTTCAAGCTCTTGGAGAGAATACCATGAAGAAAACCGCCCAGAGTAAGCCATTGTCAAAATGGCCTCCATGTTTCGGGCCCGGCTGGACGGAAAATATCCAACAGTCCGACATTCTCCTCCGGTTCTTATTTATTGACAAGTCTTACCTCTCCATCAACAACAGCGAGCTTAGCTCAGTTGGGAGAGCGTCAGACTGAAGTCAAACTTCATCATCTATCTGAAGGTCGTGTGTTCAATCCACACAGGTCGCAAACGGTGTCCATCATCCACATTTGAATTCTCGGTTGTGGAATGTTCCCTATCCTTTTGCATTTCTTTTACCACTAAGCCCCACTATAAGTAACCCCACAGCCCCGTCTTTATAAACCTCAGCTAGCTAGTCACTCCAGTCAGGCAGTCAGCGGTGGCACGCCGATGGGCAAATTTTAGTTTGTTTTCTTGCTCGCACAGGATCTAGGGGCTAACTATCTAGTGTACAAACAAGTCCGCCCATGAAACGGTCAGAAAAGTCCCGAGAAGGAGGCATTCTTGACTTGTTGTAGTTGGGCATTCCCCCGCACCTCAAGCATAATTAATTACGTGGGAATGAAAAGCGCGAAGACTCGACAGACCTAAACTAACTAAATCTTCAAACCAAGACAGGAACTTGCTTGCGTCAGCTGTTTGGATGGAATATACGCAAATCATGGAACGTGTATTGCGAATTGTTTCCATTAATTTGCATTCATTTCCATTAAAATACAAAACAAATGTCGGCTTTGGTGTGGGATGCGTGTATGCTTTAGAAGCATATACTAACTACCATGAACTCCCTGGTACCAGGTAGTTATCCTACTGTGAACTATCCCACTGTTAACTACTAGATACCTTAACTAGTCCACCCCGAAGTATCCCATCATGAAGTACCTACCCCATTAGAGTTATTATACCGAGGGCTGTTCCAGCTATCCTACAGGGTAATTTTCATGAGCCGCCTTGTGAGTGATATCATGTTTGGGTAATGTAATGGTACTCGTCGATTCGTGTTTTTGAATTCCGTCAATACGAGTAGAGCAAACAGGCTTATTATTCATGCAATGGTCGATAGATCTGCAGCATTCTGCTACTCTGAAGTTTTGACCTTGGCGATGTTCTTGCAAAAGAATAGCCATCGCAGCTGCCTTTCTCTGGCACTCTCGAAGTCCATGGCATCCCCAGCGAGAGTTGCTCTTGCCTTTCCTTGATCTTCATGGCAGCTCGATACCCGTACCAGCGCCATGAACTCTTTTTTGCCGGCATGGCACTTGCGCCGGTCCTGACTCGCTGGCCTGCGATTTGGAGAAAGATGGGTATGCGATTTTCAGCGTCGTTCTTGTCATGAACCCATTCAAGGACAAAAGTCGACGGAATTATTAATAGGACGGGTTAAAGAGGCTGCAGTTCGTTCTAGGCCCCTCTCCTCCCTCCCTTATCAGCGGATCGAGATCGACTGGATAAGGCATTCTGACGACCTAGCGCTCGGATTGGCCCTTTGCAAATCAAGGCGCAAAGCGCGATGACACAATCAATGAGTGGTGTCTGCATGGTTGCATCCGTGGTGGATGGTGTGAAGTGGGTTGGTTTGGTGCATGCATGGGCCGTGGACGCAATTGCTTGCAGATTGTGGAGAAGGAGGCTGGCTGCCTGCCTGCCATGAGCACATGAGCATTGGGCCACCAGTTGCGTTGCAGCTTGCGCTGATGAGCGAGCAGATCAACCAGGGCTACTTGAGACGACGAAAGATATATATCTGAAAATGTTTCGGTGAGGAAGAGGAGGAAAAAGAAACTATCAGCACACGCCTGCATACGGCGCAGAAGCCATAGAACAATTAATTGTGATGTGAGCAAATACGTGGATGGGATGCGAGATCTCGTCTGCGAAATGCTCTGGTCGTGTAAATACCGTGTGCGCAGATGGCCAAACCACCTCACCCTGGAGCAGCCAAGGTCTCGCGGACCTTTGGCTTCGCGGCAAGAGCGTTACGTCGGGGCAATTGCCCAATCAGCGCCTGCAGATACCCTGTTAAATCCACGATAAGACTTCTGCACGCCAAGGCGATTTAACCAACCCCTGTTCATCGTATGGTTGAAGTTGTCGAGTTCCCAGCCTGCTGTTTGATGTTTATGCTTGGTATAATTATCGAAAATTGAAAGAAACCCGTGGGATGTCGTGATTATCGGCTGTTTGGAGCATCGAGACTCGAGGGAGAGTGGAGAAGGAGAAGGGCTCACCTAGGGAGCGCAACGCCGTCGAGAAACCGGTACACGGAGATACCTGAGAGGTGCCCGGTGATGATGTCGTTGACCGTCGCACGCGGTAGCACCTGCCAGACCCGTCACCTGGGGGGCACCTATGGAGTTGACACCGCCTCGGTGGCCATGGCACCTACCTGTAATTTTTCTGTGATAACCTTCCCGTCTTCCTCGCTGCACTCCTGCCATCGTTCCCATATCTAGACGAAACTCTTGTTCCTTCATCGGAAGCGGCTCACTTCTTGTTCTCCTGCTCGTCCTCCTCCTTGTCGTCGGTCGACACTAGCCCGGCCGGCCCTAAGCCCGAGATCTTGGCTCAACTCCACCACCCCACCATCTCCACCCACTAACCAATTCAGCGTCGGCCTTGCCTGCCCTGCCCTGGAGTCTGAACGCGTCGGGTCGGGCTGCCCGCGGCGCTTGTTCGCAAGCGTAGGAGCTGCAGGATCATCATTCCTGTTTTTCTCATCTTTGCAACTTCCTCGAGCATCATCCTCTTGCTCGTCGTCCTTTTTTTCTTCTTTTTGTGGTGGCAATGGCGTCGAGAAACCCGTCGACATGGGACCAGTACGAGGGCCGGGCCAACTCGCCTGGCCGCACAGGGAGCGTCTCTTCAATGGGCCGCAGGAGCGTCCAGTTCGAGGACGAGTCTCTGCTGGGTCGCAGCCACAATGACGATGACGATCGCGAGTGGCCGGGGCTCAGGCGCAGAAGGTAATTATGCGATCCGACCTCTCGACACCGCGACGCCTTCCCTTCCTCGCTCCCAGGCAAAGCCCCGATGTCGGCATAAGAGTGGGTGGTAGGAACAGCTGATGTTAATCTCGTCTCCCAGGTCCTCCATTACGAACAGGCTCGCTGCATTCAGCGACATCGGTGGCGTCAACAGCATCAGGTCCTTCACCCGGAGTTGGCAGCGCGCCGCCGGCTTCACAGAGGTCATTCCCCAGCGACCGGCCTTCATCTACGCCCCTGACCAAGCTCCCCTAGGGGCTCCCGAAACCCTCGAGTACGCGAGAAGCCATATCGATGACGAGAGCACCGCCGCGAGGGCCTCGCTGCTGCGGCAGCACATCGAGGCGTCCCTGCCAAACGAGTCGATGTTCCCAGAAGAAAGCCAAGAGCCGGGTACCAGTTCCCCCCAACGACGTGTTAGCGACTACCGAGAGCGCGAGCAAAAGGCCTTGGATCATGAGGTCTCGCAGTCGTCCTTCCGGGTAGGAAGCTCTTCGGGTTCCATATTTGCGGTCCCGCCGCATCTGGCCAGCCCCCCCATTATCGGCAGCTACGGCACCATCCCGGACTATGGCACCGTACGGTCCGATATCAGCCGACCCTCGATGCGGGAGGCTGCTGCGCTGTGGAGCCAGCAGCAAGAAGCCGGCGTAAACGTCCCCGATGGCGAAATCCCCCCTATCCTGGTCAAGGAGGTTGAGCAGGATGGCAAGATTGTCTTGACGGTGGAGGGACAATCAACCCTCCCCCAGACGGTCTTCAATTCAATCAAGTACGCACCGACCATCCCTGCGTGAGCTCCGAATGTCTGCTAACCTCCTATCGACAGCGTTCTGATCGGAGTTGGCCTTCTGAGCCTGCCCATGGGCATCAAGTACGCCGGCTGGCTTTGCGGCATGGTCACCCTGTTTCTCTGCGCAGCTGTGACGGCGTACACGGCCAGGTTACTGGCAAAATGCATGGACCTAGACCCCAGCCTGATCACCTTTTCTGATCTGGCCTTTATCTCATTCGGCCAGAGGGCGCGTATTGCAACGAGCATCCTCTTCACCCTCGAGCTCCTTGCGGCCTGCGTCGCCCTCATCGTTCTCTTTGCCGACTCGTTGGACCTCCTGTTTCCAGGCTTCCTGTCGGTCACTGGGTGGAAGTTTCTCTGCTCATTAATATTGATACCCCTGAATTTCCTGCCGCTGCGATTGTTGAGCTTTACCAGCATTCTCGGCATTTTTTGCTGCTTTAGCAGTGAGTTCTCGCCCCAGCAGGTCAGCACGTGTGGAATGTCAAGTTAATCATGGCATTACAGTCGTCCTCATTCTGCTCCTCGATGGCTTCATCAAGCCCGACTTCCCCGGATCTCTGATCGAGCCCGCCCAAACCTACATGCTTCCCCAGAACTGGTTGACACTGCCGCTGTCTTTCGGCCTGCTCATGTCTCCATGGTAAGCATTACAAGCGTCCGTCACCCTCTTGCAGGGGTCGTCACTAACATCATCACAGGGGCGGACACAGTGTATTTCCAAACGTATGACCCTCTGAACTACGTTCCAGCTTCGCGTGCTTACTTTCTTGTAGATCTATCGTGATATGAGACACCCCTACAAGTACGACAAGGCATTGACAATTACCTTCTCCTTCACAGTAAGTCCGGTTTAAAGGATCCCGGGTTATCGCTGCACGGTCTAACGATCAACTCTAGTACGTTCTGGATGCAGTCACTGCTGTTGCTGGGCTTCTCATGTTTGGCGACGGGGTTCGCGACGAGATCACATCGAACATTCTGATGGAGAGCAGCTACCCGCGAGCGCTGACCTTCCTCATGTGCTCGTTTGTCGCCATCATCCCTCTGACTAAAATCCCACTGAACGCGAGACCGATCGTTGCCACGGCCGAAGTCATCTTGGGCCTGCACCAGCAAGTCGTTTCAGACAGCTCGGGCCTCGTGGGGCGCTCCATGTATTTCCGTGGCATCATGAAGGTCGCTGTACGGGTTGCCGTCATCTTCGTCTTCTTGGCTATCGCAATCCTGTTCCCAGCGTTTGACAGCATCATGGCTTTTATGGGCAGCGCCTTGTGTTTTCAGATATGCGTCATGTAAGCAATTATCCAGTTATGACTCTACTGCTACAAGTACAGCACTAACATTAGCACAGTCTGCCAATTTGCTTCCACCTCAAGCTCTTTGGCGACAGCATCTCGCGACGAGAGAAGCTGTTCCAATACGTGGTCCTCGTCATATCCGTCAT